CCAGTCAAATCCACATCATTTTTCCACCAGCTCGCCTTGAGCAGACCATGCGCGCGCAGGTTGTAGGTATACTCGCACACATGGCCCTCCCAAACCGCGAGGACACGAAGTTGGGTTTGGAGAGTTTCACCGGAACTGACTAAATTCTAATCAGCTACTGCGCTCTGTGGTAGAACAAAATACAGAGTCTCCTGTTTGAAAGGCCATTGTGATCACAGGCTCAAACGTGAAGATGCGGTTGACATAGTACCCATTATGGAAAATGAGCAGCCGCAACTCCACGTATAAGTAAATACATCTCCCAGAGGACTCTATAACTGTGGCACGGGCAACTCACGCTTCTGACTTGGAATCTCAAACTTCTTGGAACAAGTCATCCTCCTAAACTCACAATGGGTGCAAATTTTGGCTGTCCAGAGGAGCGATCCGCACTCCCACTTGAAGATATAGCCCTCTTGGGGCCCACTATGGATCAAGCCCCTAGGTGTGCTTTCGTGAACGTGTTCACCACATACCATCTCGGCAAGCTCATTTAACTGCTTCCAGGCTATGAGCTGCCGCAGCGAGATTGGCATATGGGAATCACTATCACTGTTATTTCTGTTGCCATCATAGCATGTAGGGAATTCGGGTAATTTGGGCGCAAGTTGAAATGCAGGTACTGGACTGCCAGAAGAGATTTCCGTTCGAGAGGAGAAACCCGCAGTTGTGGGCCCATAGGTGGCAACAGTAAGGAGTTCCTTGGGATACCTGACTAGCTTCCGGGATAATAGCAACTGTTGGCTGACTTGCAGCTCATCATCGTCCTCCATCTTGTCCCAATATTGGATGGCATCTTTCCACTGACGGTCGACGCTTGGCTTTCGGGGGTATATACCAAGGGAGGCTAATCCAACTCGTGGGCTGGCGCCAATTTCCGCAAAAGCGGAGCGGGGTGGGGGCACACCACCAACCAATGGTGCATAACCAGCAGCAACCGGGTCAACATTGTCTCTGCGGGCTAGCATCTCCACATAGCGGGCAACCCGTGGGGCAAGGGGTGGGGGTGGACCGCGAGAAGGAAGACCAGTGGATGGTAAATTCTTGCTTGCATAGTTGACGGTTTCTATGAAACTGTAGAGAGCCACGGGAGGATCAGGACCCATTGGAGAAAGAAAAGTTGTGACTGGCAATCTGTTTACGGATAGTCCATCCACGGGTAGGCGAGGGACGGTTTGGGTAGCCATATCGGAATAACCCGGAAATCGTAGGGGTGGAATACGATTGTAAAAACCAGTAGACGGTAGGCCAGTGTCTGTCTGGCTCGCCTTATCACAATACTGGAGGATATTTGGAGCCGGAGGAAAATCGCGGGGGTAAAATCCAATGAGGGGTTGTTGGGCGCCCGACCGGCAGACAATATCCGAACTAGCAATGTGTGGCAGAGGCGGGCTGCCGGCCATTTGGGAAAAACTGGGACTTGGGATGGAGGGAGGTTGGTCACTTGGGGGTGATGCGTTGTCATACATTTGGAGGAACTAAGAATGTGGTGTTCGTGGTACGGCTAGAGAGTTGCACACAAACAAGCGAGGGGGGAGGGGGGTGGAGGAAGAGGTTGTTGGAGGTGAAGAAATTAAGTGGGTGGAGGAAGTGATGGAGGAAGGTATGACAGTATGAGAGGTGTCTTGGCGAATTCACTAACCTATGAGAAAGTAATTCAGTACTACCGCACGATTCGACAAACACAGGGACAAGGTGAGTTCCTAAAATGGACCTATAAACTTCCAGTGCTCACAACACTGAACCCAGCTACAAGCCATGGAAATAATAATATTACTATTGTGAGATATATATCGTAGGGGGGTCAAAGTTCACCCTTAACCCGCCAGTATTGTGAGGCCAAAACGAAAGTGCCAACAAAATTTAATAATATCATTATCAAGAGGTTTTAAGCACGCAGGAATTAAATCTCAGCAATTCCCCTCCGCCTACTCGTATACCCGTCTACGCTCTCGTTTAAATAATATACGGCAGATAGCAGAGCCTCAGCTGCATAGGAGCGAAGGTAGGGTGAAAGTGAGTAAATCCTATCGCCTAGTTATTAGTGATGAGAGATAGTAATTTCGAGATTTCGTTTAGAGGCTGGTGCACAGCTAAGTTGATTGTACGTTGGATATCACCAAGAAAAATACCTTTTCCATTTACCAACGCACTGTACTCACGACTTCTTACTCAATGCTGTCGAGCTGAAGGTGTCGTCGGTCAAGCCAATAAACTGAAATGAGAAACCAAAGTGATGTAAGGGACTTGTAGGAACAGAGAGCTATGGAAAGGTAGGAAAAGTTGATCTGAAAGCAATGACTCTTCGTGTCTACTCTTTTATGCCCATAACCGCAGTTACCTATACCAATAAGAGGTATCTATATACCGTGATCCGAGTACCAATCTGCCGTGTCTAATATACTTCACTCACATTAAGGCAATATCTTCCACAGAACCGGGATATGTAATACAGTATAGTCATCAAAACACATGGTATCATAGTTGGGGAATTTTCCAAAAATAAATTAAAAAGCCACTAGGCGCTACAGATTGGGCTGGAGAAATTGAAAAAATGCCACCACCCACTAACAATTATCATGACATTACACTGGACTTGTAAGACTTGTGGGTGCAGGTGCTAAGCCCATAATCCATATGCCCAGTTCCTAACTCATGTATAATTCACTCATCAATCCCCTCACTCAGCTCCATCTTATCTCCTTCCATCAAAAGGAGGGTGACACCTAACATGACCCGGGGACCAGGTCTTATAATGCGGCCGGCGGCCACTAGATTCACCCCCGTCGTTAGTGATTGCTCAACCAAAGCACGAAACAAGCGAGGAAAACATACCTCGCACCACTCAGACCAGTCAAATCCACATCATTCTTCCACCAGTCCTCTCTGAGTTCGCCAATCCTGTAAAGATGAAGGACGTACTCGCACACAATACCCTCCCAGACTCCGATAATGCGAAGACGAGTTTTAGTGGGGCCGAGGGAGCCCGCTGCGCCCTGATTAGTCACTGTCTGGCTTCTGCATGATATATGCAGCGGGGTAACTCACGCTCTAGATCCGGAACCTCCACCTTCTTGGAGCAGGTGATTCTCCTAAACTCACAATTTACGCAAATCTTGAGAGTCCAGAGGAGCATTTCACATTCCCACTTGATACTGTACCCTTCTGTGCGCCCACTTGGGATCAAGTCCAACGTGTTGCAACGGTGAAAGTGCGCCCCGCAAACCACCTTCGAGAGCACATTCAATTCCATCACGGCGTCCTCTTGAGCAGCGGTGGGTGGCGGGCGGACTCCCGGGGGGAGCCCAGAGAACGGGTCACAGGGCATTGGTGTGTAATAGGTCGAGAACCGAGGAGTGTCGCGGCTGGGCATCAGGAGATGAATGACTTCAGTTCGTGGTGAGGTCGGAGTGGGAGTGTTTGGGGGCAGGCGAGATGGGCCGGGGGCTGACGCAACGTAATAGCTCTCCGGAAGGGGGCGGGCCGGGCCGTTGGGCCCCAGCTGATAACAGGCGCTGAGAGAGGGACGGGGCGGGTCGCCGCCCATCGGGTGGAAACCGTTGTTGGGAACAGGACGGCGTGGGGGGCGAGGGGGGTCACACATCTCGAAGGGCCGGTGGTGGGGGTAATGTTATTGTAGTGGTGGGAGAGCTGTGTATGATACTTAGTATGGATGACTGTGAAGAGGAAGAATATTGGGTGGTGGCCAGGGTGGTCGGAGGTAGGTGGGTGAGAATTAAAAGAAAGGAAGTATGATAACCACACCAAATTCACAAACCTAAGAGAAATCACTTAAGGTCTACCAAATAATTACGGGAAACGACGATAAGAGGGCTTACAAATGGTCCTAAAGCCTTGGGGTGTCTGAGGGGGTAAAGCCCGCCACAAGCCTCGTGACGGAAGCGTCATATCATATCAGAGCAGGGAAACGACACTCCACTGCCCACGGGCATCGCAAGCCCAGTGCGGAAATACCAGACAAACTCGGTATCACACAACGCTTGTGCCCTGTGCAGATACAATAAACCCTCGTCCGCTTGCACACTTAAAAACGACTACTGTAGGCATAATTCGTAAGTGGAAAAAAATAAAATGGCAATCAAAACCTAGCGTCTGGGTATCAATAATGAAAGATAGAGGTTTCAGGTATCATCCCCAGTTTGAGGGTGGGGTATAAGGTGGATATATGATATAACATGATTGCGGGTTGAGTATGATATGTAACATCATGCATGGGTCGCAACAACTTGAGAGGTTTGATACTCACAACTTCTCACCCAATATTCCTCGACAAGAAGGCTGGAAATATGAAATGGGTCACAACAGGAACAATACACAATAAACAGGGCTCTTTTAACTGCTAGGCAATAGACGGCATGTATTGGGAAGAAAACAATAAAGTATTTCCAGAAAGTGAACTTATTACGATTACCGTAGCCCTGTGTTTTATTCAATGCACCGCCTCGGCCGAATAATGTGGCGGAACGCACACTAGCCACAACTCTTCAACGCCACACACACACAGGAACTCCATCGCCTGTCATATCCTAGGTCAAGGGGTTCCGCCCCAAATCAACCTCCTCGTATATAAGTCAACTCGAGCGGTGGTAACAGTGCCAAGGTTCCCGCCACTTTGAAAGAAGCTAGGCCACTTGCAATGTTGGAAGTCACCCGAGACTTCCAAATATTGCATATTCAGACTAAGGAAATGCGAAAGACGGAACCTTTTTTTTTTTCGTGATGTTGGGCCTTCAATCATAGATGGTTCTACTCTAGTCTAGTGTGCCGTCAAACTTTGCAAGTGGCATAGCATAGCGTCTAGCAAAGTGGCGGGAACCTTGGCACGGTTAGTTACTTGAATACCGTAGATCGATGCCTTAACCGCACCGCCGACTCGCCACAAACCTTACGAGTACTTGAGTACCTGATCTCGACCTCTCGAACACCCGTTCCAACCGTCCCAACCACAAACGACACCACCAACGCATCTATACCAGCATCCACCATGTCCGGTCCAGCCGCCAGCACACCCTCGCGCTTTGTCGCAAACACCGAAACTCTGGAGGACGTGCTAAAGACGCAAACCGTCGGTCTCGTGCATTTAAGCGAATTCAAGAAGCGCCGTGTGGAATTAGCCGAACAGCGAGATCGCGAAGCAGCTGAGAAATTACAACCCATTCGCAGCAGCGGAGGCGGGGGAGGCTCGAGCTCGTCTCGTGAAGGCAGTGAAGCGCCCACCGGTAGCAGTGGCGGCAAGAGGACAAATAAGCGCAGGAAGGTGGTCAAGGGGAAATTGTCGTTTGCGGGGGAGGACGATGGCGATGATGGTACGGATGACGGCGGCGACTCTTCATCCGCCGACCCAACAAGGTCTAATAGCGAGGATAACAATAAGAGTGGTGAGGAGGATGAGGTGAAGAAGCGGAAGGTCAATCCGAAATTGGGTCTGCCGGCTCCGAAGGTCTTGACGAAGAATACGCTTTTGAGGGAAGCTCAGGAGCGTGAAACCTTGAGGAGGGAGTTTTTGGCTTTACAGGAGAAAATTAAAAATGAAGAGATTAGCATTCCGTTTGTCTTTTACGATGGTAGGTGTTATGAATTCTCCAATTTTTGGCGCTAATATAATGCTAACACTCACCAGGCACCAATGTTGCGCCGCCCACCGGAGAGGGAGTGACAGTTAAGAAAGGCGAGGCTGTATGGCTATTCCTCGAACGTGCTAGGAGAATGTCTGGACGCAGGGAGTGGCTCAGAGTATCGGTCGATGATTTACTGCTGGTTCGGGGTGAAGTTATAATACCTCACGTATTTCATCCACCCCCTCTCATTTCCTTTTCTCGTAGTCGCTGACTTTCTCAATAGCACTTTGAATTCTACTACTTTATCGTCAATCGCACGATGGGGCCCAACGGACTATTGTTCGATTTCCCTTCATCTCCATCGCCCACACCCCAGACCCCCACCACTAATCCCAACAGAGATGACCCCACAATGACTAAAGTGGTGGATCGTCGCTGGTACGAACGGAATAAACACATATTCCCTGCAAGCGTATGGACAGAATTTGATCCTAATACGGATTACTCGAACATGGTACGACGGGATATGGGTGGGAATGCATTCTTTTTCGGTTGAGCCAACTTGGTGCCAGTGGCCAACTCTGGCTGGTGGCGGTTGAGGGGCGGGAGGATGTGCTATCAGAAGATCTTTCGTAAACCCATGGTATGATACCGTGCGGTATATATTATGTTTTTGTGCTCTTTTCCCTACCCTTCGCTGGTTTAGTAGCATAGACTACGGGATATGGACTAATTGTTAGACCTCGATGTAAAACTACTTATAATCAATGAAACTGGTGATTGGATGCGTCACTCCGTTGCACGTACCAGTACGCGTTGTCGTTAACCCGTCAGTGATAGGCTTTCGCGGCCCTATATATTCTCGACGGATGTGTTTTTGAATCTCCACAATAGAATCCATTTTCTTCCTCACATTTGCAACCGATCATCATTGCCATCATCCTCACAACCCCCTGCTCCCCCGACTGCGACACCACATCAGAATGGACGGCTTTATCCTCCGCTGCAATGACCTCCGATGCCGTGCTCAAACCGATGGCCGTGCCGTTGTGACTACTTGCAGGTATTCATCTTCCTGATTTTATTGAACAAACACACAATACTACTCAAGCTGCTGGATTGCAGTTGCATTTTTTGATTCAACAACTTGAGCACTTGTACTTGCACTCTGCGGTGTCAGTAAAACTTGGAAAACAGCGCTCTTGTCTCCATTGAGCTTTGCACTCGTATGGGATAAGTAGGGACGATTTTTCCGATTATTTGCTGAACTCCCGAGCATATTTACTCACTCCCCGTCGCATTGATCCCTTAATAACCCCAAAGTTGATTCGCTCTTCCTCACCTCCTCTAGTCATATTTACTGCCTCTCGTGTGCCGCTGCTCTACAGCTTACCGAGCCTCCTCCGAGCGGTCAACGAACTTGTCCAGCATGCGATACAACACTCTCCAAACCGGATGATGCAGTAATCACAGTTCTCAACCCAAGTGACGACTACAAGACTAGTGTTCTCAGTGGGCTCAGTCCGAGCATCATTATAGAAATCTGCACGCGTGGACTTGCCTTCTGGACTTATCAAGTGACCCAAGAAATGTCCGTGTTAACCTCTTTCCACTCTTAGGCGTGTGATTGACCACGGCATAGATTTTATCAAGAACACCTTGCAAAATCCTTGCGAGCGCGGGGAACCGAAATTCAAGGGGAGAATGAGAAGATCATTCGTGATGCTAATGATGAAATCTCTGCCCTGCGGAATAAAATTGCCGGAATGAGGGTTGTTGAGGATGAATTGAGAAGGAAGAATCATGAGTTGCTGCAGGGGTGGAGAGAGAAAGCAAGGAAGCTAGCACAGACACAGGTGATCCCGGCTCCCATTTGTCATTCCCACGATAAGAGACCTCGTGCTGACACTATACAGGAACTCTATGATAAACTCAAACGCCGAACCCTAATATCTCAAGTGCAGCAAGCTGCTACGGACCAGGCTGATCAAGCCCTATATATGACTTCTCACCAACCCTCCGATTCCCGGTACTTCCAAGACTCCCTAAACAAGTCTGCGGGGAACTTTTCCCAACAAATCCAGCCGAGTCTGGAACCCGAATACACCCTAACTGGTGCGAAGATCAGAAATACCCACGCCCAGGGTGGGATTGGTCCTGGAGGGAGAGCCGGTCAGTCCTTGCAACGGCCAGGGCGGAGACCCGATGATGTCGGTGGCATGTTCTTGAATGGTAGGAATTTTCCCGTTCCACTTGATTTCTCCAACACCCGTCTGAAGTATTGAGTAGATCAAACCCCTTTCTCGTCTACTCCTATCACCGGCCACGAGCACCGCCAACGTTTGGATATCCAATCTTCAGCTATACGATTCCCTGGCGCACAGAGTGAATACGGTAGGCCCCCTTTGCGGGGGCTTAACGAGAATACCCGAGGTGGGCGGATGGGAGATGGGGGCAAGAATAGAAGGCTGGAGGTAGATGAGAATGGGAGGGTTGTTCTCGACCAACATTGATAAGGAAATTTTCTTGCTCGCCATGGTGATGATTGGGCATTGATTTGACCAGCTCTATGTCATTCGTTGCTAAGCTGCCTTTTTATTTTGTGTCTCGGTTAAAAGAAAGGGATCGTATGAAAGGAAAATTTGATGCACACGATGTGCTACTTGGCTTATCTTCTACAGGGCGGAATACCAATGCCAGCCCAAACATAATTTCCAGCAAGATAGGCTGCTACCGTATATTCACGGGTCTCCTATAGCTCTCCAAGCACCCTCAAAACTACCCCTCAAAACGCCTCACAATAAGCAATACCAACTATAGTCCATCTTTCTTACAGTGTGGTATGTTATAATACTTCAAAAGTGCCCACTATAATGAACTTATGATTTCATACCTCTCTATCCGTTTAAACCCTTAACCCCCATACCCTAAAGAGCACTCCACAGAAGAATCTCAGACATAAATTAATGGCCACCGGGAGTTCCCAAGTACTCGAGTATAGATTATGAGCACTCTGCCAACAAAACAGCACAGGCCGCAAGCTTGATAATCAGATTAGGAAGTACGAGTATCATAGATGTCAAAGGTGTGGACGCATAGAAGGGGCGAAGCCCCAATGATAGGTGATTCAAGAAGCATAACCTATGACCCAGGTATGATAACGATTTTGAAGTGGGTGGGTATGATAATGGAGGACTTCCCGTAAGCCTATACCGCCCGGATAGAACAGGTATTTCCGAATAATGTAAAATAGGAGAGGGTGTGTAAAAGTAGTGAATAGAAGGGGGGGTGGACCCCCCCCTTCTATTCAGATCATCTACTCATATTCCGATGAAATAGAGTATGTGTTTAAATACAAGTGGGGAGACTAACAAAATACTGTACCACCTCTCCCAATATGGATATATTGATGCAACTCTACCTAACAAGAAATCCAGTTATTGCACTAGCGCTTTAGTTTATTCCCAATGCAGCAAGTGAGGGAGCTGGCTGCAATCCTGCTGTCTACGGGAAGTCATACCTTCTATTCAGCTCTCTATTCCAATAGACCTTGATCCCGATAGACTCACGGGAAGTCCTCCAATGCGGTGGTAGGAGTGTGCGGAATCTCACCCTGATATCGGGCATCATGCCAAGATCGGGCTTGGCAAAACGCGATGGTGGTATCATATGATACGAGAAGTGACATCACTATCAGTACTGCATTCGGAAGACTTCAGAAAACTCGAAGAAATCATGCCCATGGTCTACCCGAGTATCGCGCTGCTCATGGTCGCGTTCGGGTCCTCAGGCTGTTTCAAGGGTTTGGATCCTTCTTGCTCACATTTCGCACGATCAGCTATGATACGACAAACGCTACTGTCCGGTACTCGAGTAAAGTAAATTCCAGTGGAGCGGGAGCGCAAAGTGCCCCTCTTGCCGGTCAAGGAAGGTAACTGAGAATGTGGAAATGAAGAGAGGTAAAGACTTGTGAGACAGAGAGGCTGTTGGGAGATAAAGATAGTGGCTTCTTAGGAATGCAATTGACTTCGTTCTTGTTTATTTCTCCAGTGCCTGAGACCGCCATACTTATACCCATCAGAGGTTTCTATATACAGTGTTCCAAGTCCCGATTTGCCATACTCAACATGCTTCCGTCACATTGAAGTACCTAACTATATTTCAACAGCCCCAACGCACGGACCCCCGAGTGACACTCGATGAATTCTGCTCATGGAAGTCACCCGGGCATATTCTTGTCACGCCGGTCCGATTCCCGAGGCCTCCATCAGAGCTTCCTACCCCGTTCCGGGTTTAACTTTATCGGAACTGGCGCCCAAAACTTCAGAATAACTACATTGGGTGCCCTAGGCTCCCCTTCATATATGATAACTTCGCCGGTCCCACCAACCTCGCCGGAATACACCCACCATCCAACCAACATCGCCAAAAAAAAAAAAAAAAAAAAACATTTGATAATGACCCCAAGCAGCCTCATATCTCTCTGAGAACTCAACATCCCACACGCCACCTCCGCGCCATTCATCCGTTTGCTCTCGGAGAACCGGCTCCCGCACGAGAACTTCAACAGATGGCTACACAACGACTTTCTCTACGTCCGCTGCGACACCTTCTTCCTGGCCCGTCTAATTACCTCGACCCCTGACTCGCTCGCGCTCAAACGCGCACACCTAATCCCGGCCTACGGAGTCCTGAGGCGCGAGTTAGAAGTGTTCCGCCAAAAGGCCTTCGCCCGGACCGTCACGCTTCCGGAAATCTCACGCGCAGATTCGGACCACGTCTCCGAGTCCGGCAAGACTGCTTCGGGGATACTAAGCGAGTTGGTGGGCCACACGGCGAATGGGTGCGCAAGGTACATGAAGTTCATGACAGAGATGTTACTGGATGAGAAGAAGGTGCACTGGAGCACACTCCTGGTGGTGGTCTGGGTGTTGGAGAGGGTGTATTTGGATGTTATGGTGCATGTCCGAGATAGTCCCGCATTCGACCTGGGCGCGGACCAGGTTTTGAAGGAATTTGTTCGGTGGTGGGCTAATGATGTTTTCGCCGCTTATGTGGACGCACTTGGGTGGGCGGTCATCGGGGTGAGGGAGGACGTGGAAAGGAGTGGGTTCCGTGAGGAGGAGGCGAGATGGGCGGCGAGGGAGGTTGTCGTGCGGGAGAGGGGCTTTTGGGATATCGGTACGGAGGGGCTGGAATATTTGGGGGGGGGAAGCAGCATACATGTAGAGGATTATGTGCTGTACTGTACAGTACTAGTGCCTTCGAAACTCATACTAGTATAATATACCGGTATCGGTTCGTAACGTGCGGACATCACACGCATACGTAGGAATGTGCAATTTGTGCTTTAAACAGCCCCCGAAATGTGTACAGTATGACACTGTACTTTACTATACCTTTGCACATCATCTCGCGACGCATTACATCATACCCCGACTATCCCCAAAACCATTGCCGGGTGTCAAACATCTCCCCCAACATCCATGACCCGACTAACCCGGTTGACCCTTTGCACACCCAGAAACCAAACCCTCAACCATATCTACCGAACGAGAATACGAATAAATAAACCTCCATAGTTGAAGCCCAGTCCATGAGGATCAGATAACCCCCAGTCTCCTCATCAATCTCTCTCCGACTGGAGCATGAATAGTCGAGCACCATTGCCCGTTTTTGGAGTTCCTACCGTAACCCTAACCCTACTTTCCATCCAATCATACCCGGCATGTTATGTATAATACCGCCCCCGGTAATCTACTGGCACAAGTATGCAAGCAGCCACAGCGCGGATCGCGACAAAAGCGGGTGGTACACTCACTAGACGCCGGCAACCGGTAGCCATGTACGTACAAGTATGGATATCCGAAGCCTTCGCGGGGCCCGACCCAGCAAAGTGTGGTGGCACCTGAACCGGCTCAGTACCAGTACTGTACTCGTACAGTAGGATACAATAGTAGTTTTTGGTTGTCGGTCGATGCTGTTTAATAATTGGTCCCCCCCCCGTGCAGTACAAGTACAAGTACAATATTGGTGGGGCACACTATTTCTCCCATAGTTATCGCTATGTTTTCGGGTTGGGTTCACCTAGTGTTTTGTTTTGTTTTGTTTTCGTTTTTATTTTATTTTTCTTATTCCCTGCCCGTGTAATTACTCGTAATGGAGGCTCTTGTTTCCCCTTTCCTCCCGGTCGTTTGGTATCGTGCAAACTCGTGGATTTGCGCGGTGTTGGTGCGGTATTGTAGGGAAAATCGGTGATGAACCCGGCACCCCCAGCGACCCCGATATGATAGACCAAGGTCGCACAGAACGCACAGCCTAATATTGGAAAGACGAGTGCGTTCTCATGACCCCTACAATACTTGTTATCGTAACGTGGACCAACCACCCACAACCCTGTCACCGAACCCTGATTGGCACCCGGGGCTTGGGTTGCCCCCCCCTCCTTCCCTGCTTCTATCATTTCTATGAAATAATTCCTGTCAATAGGAATGCACTCCATTGGGTAAAAAATTGCTTTCGGGTTAGAGGGATTTATTGAAGGGGCAAAACGGGGGGAGGGGTTTTTTTTGGGGGGGGGGGAACTTGAAATATCTGAACAACCGGTGCAGTAACTCTGGAGTAGATTTACGGAAGATGAGTGGAAGGCCTAAAAAACAAAGAAAGAAAAATCTGCAATTGACGTTGAGATGAGGTTTGGATAAGGAGAGTTTTCTCATTGACTGCTGAGTCAGTGCTGAGATGGTTGGGGATTTGTGCCCCCGTCGGATGACTTAAGGCGGCGCTCTCTTAATAATACAAGTAGCTAAAATTAGCCATAGTGTTGGTCTGAAGTTTGACGTCCGCATATTTTTAGAGACAGCCTCCGGTCCAAAAAATGGGGAAATCTAAAATTCAACTGTCTGTGGAAAGTCTGTGCAAAGTCTGTGCTGAACCAGGCCTTGATTGGTTGTTAGAATGTCAGTAGTACTTAAAGAAGGAAGACAAGAAAGAGTTCCAGTGTTGGTAATCAGGTAACAACTGCTGCAATGAGTGACCTTAGCTATAAGCAACAATTGTAATGATCCCTCCTGGGATAGTTAGTTCTTGGCAATGGGGAACGATACTTCTCTTCTTCTTCTGTTTCTTTCCTTAGTCTTATGATAGCACTAGGTTTCTGCCTACGTTACCGATAGTACAAGACCTCTGTCTTCTATCGGGAAAGCCTATCGTAAGCTTTCTCTAACTCTTCTTCATGAAGAGTTTTCCTTGGTGTAATGATAACGTTGCAATAAAGATAAAGATCGTAAAGGTGTTTTATATTGGTTAAAGTAATAAGTAGAAAAAGTACTTAGAACAAAGCATGAAAAACCTATCATCCTCAGCCGTATCAGTCTCCTTATATAGTGTTCTTCCCGCCCATAGTAATGTGATCCAAAGTGGTCACATGTGTGAAACCAAATCATAACAAACTAGTCATGTGACCAAAATGGTCACATGCTTAAAACCCATGACCTCATAATGAGGTCAGGTGCAAAAACTCATAAACTAATCATAACACAATAAACAAATCATATGAGTTGAATAAGTCATATGCGCAAAACCCATGACCACATAATGAGGTCATGTGCTAAACATAAATCATATGCGCAAGGCATACCTGCAAGGCACACTGACAAGGTATACTCGCCA